TTTTTACTATCTTTATCTTTATTGCAACGTTATCGTTACGCCAAGGAACGTTGTTTATGAATAAGAGTTAAAGAAAATCTATGGTAGGCGTTTCCGATAGAAGACAAAGGTCTTGAACTATCAGTAACGTAGGCAGAGGCCTAGTGCTATCATAAGACGAAGAAGGAAGAAGAAGAAAACAAGAAGTAACGTTCCCTGTCGCCATGACCTAACCATCTAAGGAGGGATTGTTACATTGAGTTTCTCCCCTTTTATTTAACTTTATGTATCTTGCGATATGAGCTCTTCACGAATGTTGAAGGCCTTATTTTGATTTCCTTTATTTTATTGTTTATTTTGAGATTGAGGTTGTGTTTACATTATAGCTAGTGCTGCATGCGAGTTCTTATACTTTAACAATGAATAGATTATTATAAAATTAAAAAAAAAAAAGGACCTTAGGTACAGCCCTAGACAGAAGAGCTCTCCCTCCACCCTCCCAATAGTTATAGATGCCCTACTCTTTCACCCCTCAGGGGTAATCAGATGGCTTGGTTACTAGTTTGAGCCTGCATCTTGCTCCCTCTATTGGGCTACCAGCACTCACTGCTCAAAGCGCCTGACCCTTACCTAAAATGCATTTTCCATGCTAAAAAGGCTACCAGGTTCCAGAAAGGGACTCGCTTCCTTCCTGTGCCATTGCTTGGCTTCCTACCTTCTGATGCCCATCCTGCTCCACAACTCTGATCTCTTCTCCCCTTCAGCCTCTATGATGGACTATTTGTTTATCTTCTGGAAACAGGTACAGAGGTGGATAACAAACTGCTTTACAGAGACCACCACTAGCATCCTGCGGTATGTGTTAGCTCTTCCGCCAAGACAATATCTTATCGAATATTAACAGTGCCTATCGGCCCTTCAGATTGTCTGTCTCCTGCCTGAGCGGAACCCCAGCAGATCAAGGTTCCTCTCCTCCATTCCTACTACCTTATCTTTCTGTTCACTCGAGGATTACCACCTGCTCATGATAGGCCTCATACTGGGCTACAGGCCCCTCAACTAGAAAACTCCTGAACCCACTCCTCCTGTAAGAAGACATCTTCTACTAGATACCATTGTCCATTAGGTTGTCAAATCTGTGAGTCATCTCTCCCGTATTCCCATGGCATCTGATGTCCTCTTCTTCTTGCCTTTACCCCTTGCAGCTCCAGGAGACCTCCCATTTCTTACCATCAAAATGGGCTGTAGGCAGCTGCTCCTCAACATCTGGGCTAAACAATACCCCCTTCCTACCTACCATATCTACTCCCCCATGCTTACATCCTACCTTTTCATGAGCCTTGGTGAATTTATAGCAGGGTTGATCTATCCAATATGGTCTGGGAAGAGTTACCTGGCCAGTCACAACTCCTGGTAGGACCCAGATGCCTCCAACCTCTGTTCTTACTGTGAGACAGAGGTCAAAATATTCCACCATACCATCATTACCAGCTCCTCTCATAAATGGACAGCTACCTCCACCTCCCTGGATTCTAGAGCTTGTATGAGGAAAAGCTCCTCTAGTTAACACCTGCCCTTCTTGATGAACTCACTACGTACATTTCCACTACCTCAACTGATTTTCCCCCAGAAATACCTAAGTACAGAGATCGTATCTCCCCTGCTCTGCCCACTAGTAGGATGGCCCCCTGTCTGCCCCCCCATCCTCCAATCAGGTTCAGAAGTTAAAAAAGTTTCTTTTATTTGATTTTCTTATTAGTTAGGTTTTCTTCTATTTAGTTTGAATGCTTTCCTTTATGGTTAAGCTTTATGGGTCTTGCAATATCGGTTGTTCGCCATAGTTGGAGGCACTAGTGTGGTTTCTTTTGTTTGAGTTTACTTTAGCATTAAGGTTTTGTCTACACCATAGCTAGCGCTGCGTGTGAGTTCTTGTACCTTAATAAAAAATACATGATAATAAAAATTAAAATTAAAAAAAGAAAAAGGACATCTGGTACATACTCCTCACATAACAACTTAAGTTCTTTCCTATATAACCAGTTGAATCACTACATTATATATACTTTGCACAACGCTACTGGAGAAAGAGATCTAGCTTACAAGGAGTAATGTGAGTATAATATTATCCTCACTATCAGAAGTGATAGTAACGATCGAAATTCTCTGAGCTATCAGGGTATTAGAGTAACTGAAATGGTAAGGTTGTTACCTGCTGAAGAACTAAGTACAGAGGAGTAGGATCGTTACCTTATACTGAAAATCAAAATCAAAAAGACATTAACTCTTTTGTTCAATTAGAGCTTTCTGTTCTCCATAAGTCCCCCTTAAGACATCTGTATTATGATTAACACATATGCTGCTTCAGCCAAACTCCCCACTTGACAATGTCATCAACTCAGGTTGGCCCAGAATTGGATCTTTAAGCTAGATATTTGACTGTGAAGTCGAGCTCCGCTTCTTTGGTTATGTATAAAAAATCAGGATAGTGGTACTTCACCGGCACTAAAGCTACTACCTATTCTACATCTCCTATGTCCATTCACAATATCAAACTAGAGTCAAGCTCAAAAAGGTCTCCTTTCCCCACGGAATCTGTCAACCCCATTCTCTTAGCTGCAGTTTCACTAGATAGTAGATAACTGTACAAATGTTCCCGTTATTTCAAAAAATACTAGACGACCATCGAAGATTGACATCACTCCTACCGACTACCAGAGAGTTCAATGAGATGGACAGCTCAACAGAATGATACTAAGTCTATCACCATTCATCCCTCACAACCACTGCCTATTCAACCAACCCTTATTATGTCCACTGAAGCTTACTCCACAATCAAAGCCAGAATCCAAAGAGCAATTAAGGTACTCAATGGAGAAGGAAATCCAAATGTGTCTGCTGTTGCACAGGAGTTTGATGTTCCTAAAGAGTGCCTGCGTACATGGTAGAATGGTCTGCAATCTGGTCAAGAGTGAGTTTTACCAAATTGGAAACTGAGTGAAGTCCAAGAGAGAGGCTTATGTCAGTATCTAAATCAACTGGATGAGATAGGAATCCCAACATGCTATCATCTCATTAGCAAATATCTAAACTCAATTTTCCTTCGCTCACATTCAGATTCTACAATTACGCTGCCAAGTGTGAATGAGAAGTGGACTCACCAGTTCCTCTCCCAATATTCCGAGTACAAGATCTGAAAACAGAAATCTCTTGACATGGATCGTAAAAGGGCACATCATAGTGATAATCTCTGTGATTGGTTTCTTCAGTATAAGAAAGCTATAGATGAGAAGGAGATTTTGGATGTTGATTCTGATAATATTGACAAAACAGAGTTCAGGATTGAGATTGGGAAGGACCAGTGGGTAGTAACTCATGAGCTAATGCATCCGATGTATATAGCTAGTTCAAGTCATCATGAGTTAGTAACTGTAATCGAAAAAACTATTATCAGTAATGGTGGGGTACTTTCCCTCATGGTTATTATTCCTGGCATACTTTACATGAAAGATTGGTATTTGCCGACTGATCTGCATGGTAATATCTTGTTCGGGATTTCAGAAATCACATATTCGAACAATATGCATACTATGGACTGATGTCACCATTTTGAAAACTGCTCCTGTCACCAGCAAGTTGGGGCTTGGAAATTGCTTCTCCTCCATGGACATGATTCACACTGTACAAGAGAGTTTATACAGTTTTGTGATGATTACAAGATTTTACTCTTTTGTTTTCCTCCTCATTGTACTCATTTATTACAGCCACTTGATGGTGTTGTATTTCAGCCTTACAAATATTACCATATAGAGGCTGTTGATTCTGTGACATGAAGTAGGTGTTCTAAGTTTGACAAGATTGAATTTTTAACTCCACTTAACTCTATCCTTTCTCTTACATTCAAGTCTAAGACAATTCGTTCTACCTTCTGAAAGATAGAATTAATTCTCTTTAATCCCAATATCATACTCGGGAAGCTTATGGAGCAGGAATTCCCAAATACCCAAACTCTATCTATACCTCCATCACATGTACAACCTCCGCCTACAACTCCCCAAACTATTTGGTCTCTTAAAAGACATGCAGATGGTCTTTTATCAGAGCTTGGCCAACTCTCACCATCAACAAGCAAGAGTCTTCGAATGTTCATTACAGGTAGCCTTGTACAGGCACATACTGCTGCACAGGCACTTGACAATCTTATACAAACAAAAGCTGCTGAACTTACCCATGCTACACGACAAAAATAGAGCCGAAGGTCTCTTCAGAAGGGTGGGACTATGTATGTTGATGAGGCAAGGACAATGGTGCAGCAGAAAAAACAGGACAGCATTGAAAAGCAGGTTCAGCAGGCACAGTGAGCACTTGATATGATTATAAGAGCAGCAGATAAGAAGGTCAAGCAACAATGGAAGGAAATTCTAAGCAAATGCGAGCAGCAGTGAGGGATAGAAATAAGAAGCTTAAGCTTCAGAAGGATTTGTTTCACAAAGTTAGGCATTCTGTCGTTGACAATTTCAATTATTCTACTCATGTATAATAAAAGTTCCATTGAGCTGTCCATCTCGTTGAACTGTCCGACACTCTGTAGGAGTGCCGTCAATCTTCGAAGGTCGCCTAGCGTCTTTCGAAGTGGCGGGAACCTTGGCACGGTTAGGGACAGTGAACCTCGTTAATCCATTCATGCGCGTCACCTCTACTAGTACCTTCATTTCCCCCATAGTCATCGGATATCACTTGTTAGTTTTGTAAGCGTCAATCCGGAGTAGTGCAGCTGGCAACGAATTTTACTGTTTCAGACCCCCCAAGGGATCAGGTACCGTAGGGAAAATCGAGCATAGAGTGAAAACCTATAAAAAATGGCCAAAGTTATTAATCGCCAAGCTGAGTCACTAATAATAGAAGTCTTCAGCGGATAGACTTCCCATCCATCCATTCCACAGCCACCCGTTGCCTTCAGGTTAGTATCCTTTGTACCGCCATATAACATCTCATACCGCCCCGAATCAACTAGAGATCGTCGACGAAAGACGACCTCACTTCGTTTCACCCACAATTCCTTTCACCCCCTCCCCTCTCTCTTCTCAAACCTTGGTATGCCTCCATACCGCGCAAGGACGTGTCTCTGACATGGCCATCCTCAGCTTTACGGAGCTCCTGCTACTCGAGTTCCTGGCGCACTTATCCCACGCTAACCTCTCCCTCGCGCACCGCTGGCTTCGGGACAGTTCCTCCGAAACCCGAAGCGGAATGGGGCGTTCTCGGGTACGCACCCCTCGGAAGAGGTGGACCGAGAGTTGAATTACCTCGTACTAACTTGGATAAGTGCAAACCACCACGAGACGCCTAGGTTTTGACGGGAACGGGAGAAAATGCCAGCAAAACAAATCAATTACTTAGAGGGGAAACTTGGAAGCCCTGAGACAAATCGCTCTTTATCCCAGTTAATACAGTATCATAGCTGGCTCTTGACGCGGTGGGGTAGGGTGGGGTTGTTGCCCTCCAAACGCATCCCGATAAAAATAGCCATCGTGGAGGTCTCCTCTCGCAATAAACCAGCGACAGCGAGCAATCGACCTCACCACCAACTGCTACTTATCAAAATGGTGCAAATAATCGCCTACGAATCCCGCGATGTCCGCTTTCCGGTCTATTCCCTCCTTCGTACCTCAAAATTCCAGGGGGAAAAAGCCGGCTAACCAAACCCTCCAGACTTCCCTCGACAAAACCGGCTCCGATGCCATGAACGAAGCAGGCGACTACTCGGCCGCCTACTGCATCCTCAAAACCGATGGAGCCCACAGCGGCCACGGAATGACCTTCACCATCGGCCGTGGAAACGACATTGTTTGCCGTGCGATCGAGCAAGTGGCCCAGCGCATCGCCAGCCACTCGCTAGAAAGCCTGACAGCGGACATGGGCAAGACGTGGCGATGGCTGGTATCCGATTCGCAGTTGCGCTGGATCGGACCTGAGAAGGGAGTTACCCACCTTGCCCTGGGTGCCGTCGTGAACGCACTTTGGGATCTCTGGTCCAAAGAAGTTGGGAAGCCTTTGTGGAGGTTGGTGGCAGATATGTCACCTGAGGAGTTTGTTAGATGTATTGATTTTAGGTACATTACTGATGCGATTACTCCCGAAGAGGCGGTTGCCATATTGAGAGAGGGGGGGAGCGGGAAAGAAGGGAGGATTCGGGATGCCCTCGAGGATAGGGCGGTGCCGGCGTATACTACATCCGCAGGCATGATCCTTTTCGCTGAGCTCACTGGATCGGGAGCTAATTTTGATATAGGATGGTTGGGATATGGTGAGGATAAGATGAAGAGCCTGCTACACGAGACGTTGGCACAGGGATATAAGCATTTCAAGATTAAGGTTGGAGGAAGCGTGGAAGAGGATAGGAGGAGGCTGAGAACCGCCCGTGACATTATTGGATATGAAAAGGGAAATGTCCTCATGATCGATGCAAACCAGGATTGTCCCGCGGTGTCTGTCAACAAAGAAATCAAAACTGACTATTTCTAGGTCTGGTCCGTCCCAGAAGCAATTCACTACATGAACCAACTCGCAGAATTCAAGCCTTGGTATGCACTCTCCTGCCTTTATATCGATCAGTTTATGGTGCTAATTGATACAGGTTCATCGAAGAGCCCACCTCCCCCGACGACATCCTAGGCCACGCTGCGGTCCGAGAAGCTCTAAAACCCCACGCCATAGGTGTCGCTACCGGCGAAATGTGTCAAAACCGTGTGATGTTCAAGCAGCTCCTGCAGGCCCAAGCAATTGACGTTTGTCAAATCGACGCGTGCAGAATGGGCGGCGTGAACGAAGTTCTGGCAGTCCTTCTCATGGCGAAGAAATTCGGCGTTCCCATCGTCCCGCACTCCGGTGGCGTGGGGCTTCCCGAATACACACAGCACTTGAGCACGATTGACTATGTGGTTGTTAGTGGGAAGCTGTCGTTGTTGGAGTATGTGGATCACCTGCATGAGCATTTCTTGCACCCGAGTGTTATTAAAGAGGGGTATTACGTTACTCCTACGAACCCGGGTTACTCTGTCGAGATGAAGGAGAGTGCTTTCGTGAAGTTTAGCTTTCCGTCAGGAGAGTTTTGGGAGTCGGAGGAGGCTAAGCCTATACTTAATCATTTATCTAAATAGGCTATGGTAGGCCAGGTAGTCACGGGGTCATTGTAAAAGCTAGTTTAACTTAACCTAAACTCTTCTCCATCCCTTCTCCCCTCATCTCTCGTAGAGTTCGCTTCTTAGCTCTCTCTCTAATCTTCTTCTCTCGATTCTTCCTCGCCCTCTCCGCCTTCGCAACCTCCTCCCGCTCCTCGGGGGTAAGCCCCTTGTACTTCTCCAACCCCGCAATACTCTTCCTCTTCGCCTCCTCCAACGCCTTCTCCCTAGCCAAGATCTTCCGCAAGTGTATCCTCCGTTTCTTCCCCGGCCTCTTCCTCCCCCTCTTCTCCCCAACCACCCCGTGAGCGAGTAACACCTGCCCCGTAACCGCGTACTTGAGCGAGCGGGAGCAGGCACGCACGCTCTCCCCGCTGATGGCCACTTCCGCTGCGCGAGCTCTTAAAAGTGCGAGCTGCGCAGCGGTAGGAATGTAATAGCCGGTCGGCCGGGATTGAGATTTCAGCGCGAGGGCGTAAGGGTCTGGGGGCGGGGCCGGTGAGCGGACCCGGACGGTGGTTGTAGCGCTGAATAGCTTGAAGGAGTACTCGTCGTTATCGGGTGCGGAGGTATCGCTGGGGTTTTCTTCGGCGGGAGCGGGTGCGGCTGGGGCAACTATTGTATGGGTGACTTCTTCGAATTGTAGGTCCAGGTGGTGGTGTCGTTGTGGTGATGAGTCGCCGGAACCAGCGGTGGAAGTTGGGGATAGTGAAGGGGAGTAGAGGTCTTCGCGACGGATTCTACCGATCAATCGTTAACAGTGTAGTAGTTAGGGGAGAGTGGGTCAGAGTTGGAGGCGGAGGGGAGGTTACCGTTTTGTTTGGGGTTCCTCAAACATTGTCCTGGTACAGTACCAGTAGTGAGTTGGTATGGTGTTGCAAGAGTGAGGGACAATGGTGTGAGTTCATTCCAGGTCTCCCGGCGCCTTGGCATGGTTATGCAATGAGGGTGATCATAGAGCGTCACTCACATGACAACTGTTCTTACAATACAAGGGATTACCCACCGGGAATAAAGCAAGCCATAATGCTTGGCAGTCACTCAGTCATAGAGTCATAAAATATTTCCAGTAAGGTTCTTGATATAATATCATTGCTCTCTACAAGTCCGTACTTTTTATGGGTCTGAGTGGAGTAAGTTATCCAAAAAGCCGGCGGCCACTCTAGATCTTACCTCTTTCAAACACAACTAAACTACATCACAAAAACAAAACCAGCATCGCCACCACTCCCGCAAACACCCTTGATCAGTCGTGGACATTAGAATTCTGAAACCTATCATTATTCACGATACGGACAGTACGTAGCTCAGTGGCGCAATCATGATTACAGGGTGCTGCTTCCCTGAAGAGCACATTTTGCGGTGCCAATGTCGATTATCACTCTTTCGTGGTGGGAGGGGATACAGTATGGTGGATGGGATTTCAGGTAAATATAGGATATGTATGCAAGGTCTGCCCCCCCCGACTTACCATTGCCCGCTCCTTATTGCTGACATTGTGTTAATAGAAAATGGATGTCCTGGTAAGAGCCTCACAAGCACAATCGATCGGCCGGGCATTAGCTCAAATCGGCGAAAAGTTGGAGGTCAATGAATCAAGCATTATAGGGTTGAATATGGTGGCTAAACGGGCAGAGCATCGCTCCTTCCGGTGGATCAAGAAGTGCGATAATCAGTAGTTTTAGCCTCTGTTGCGAGATCCAAGCCCCGGATTCATATCATGTGTCCCAGAATTTCTGGACTCATGCCTGAATTGCCTAGGTGGACGGAGGTATATGTGCTTTACCTCAAATGGACGTGGGCAATTTGGACAGATATCTGGTCCGCGACCCATCGCTCCAGCAAGAGAAACGTCTGTCGAAAGTCAAAAACTCGAAGCAGTTGACAAAATATTTTACAGAGCGGCAGTGGCGGCAAGAGAGAGGGGTGAAGAGGATTATAGATAGACTGGCGAAACATGCGGCTCATTCAAAGTCCAGGCTGAAAGTTCCCTTTTTCATGAAACCCTTGTGGGATTGTGTTGCATAGCTATCGGTTGACAATATGGGAGGGTTATAGTTCGTCGATGGTGACGGCTAACGCTTCTGTATATTTCATATGTTTCTGGAGCGGCTTTTTTAGGTAATGTCTCTGGTGGTCTCTTTTCTTGCATCCCATGATTGACGGAGGATTTTTTTCATGCTTGTGTTCCCTTTGCTATGGTGGAGTGGCTGGAGGACTGGATACATGTATAGTGACCCAGAGGGGGGCCGGGCTATGTTCGCCATGTTAGATATCAACTATTATTAGCTCCTCCGTTCTCCTTGTAATAAAAACAGGGGACATGAAGTGACAAGAACAATTCATCTCATTCACGGATTCTACCAACGGCAGAAAACTGTCTGGGAGGCAGGGGGTGGCTTTAACCCTACTATATAAGAATAGCCTTCTAATAATTCTGAGAAATATCCTCCCCATAAATGTATTCGTAGTCGCTCATGCAAAAGAATCCGAACTCATCGAATTTCTAAAGCAAGTTTTGAACCCAATGCGCCATATTAAATATGTGGTAGGGATGTGATTTATTGAGATATCGCACTTACTGGTCCGAGTATATTTACATTTCCCCGTACAAGCAATCATCAGTTCGACTATATCTATCCCAGTACAAATTGATTGCATTTAATAATCGTCACAAAACAGTTATGTGACTCTCCACAACAGCAGCATATCTGGTCTTCCTCCCTCTCACATTTAAGTCTCCAACCATCCACCTCAACCGTGCTCACATTACGGCCTGGAGGTAAAACACTCTGCAGGACTAGGTGGGTCTTGGTTCCATAGAGCTGCCGCCAGCCCCATGCCCTCACTTCTGCAATTGCTTGCATCTCAAAGGCCTGCAGTATTTTCTCCTCCTCTAGCGCCCAAGTACCTAAAGGGATTTTAAAAGTACAGCCCTTTCCTCCCCGGTATCTCACCACCTCAGTGTTGAACCCTCTGATCGTGATGGGCCCTAAAGCTCTTTGAAGTTCCTCTTCAGTTCGAAAGCGGGCAATGAGGGCCAGAGGTGCTTTTGTCTTTTTCCTTATACTGGAACCCGCTTTTGGTTGAACTAAATAGGATACTGTTGCAGCGGGTCTCAGGGAGTTGGAAAGAGCAAATATTGTGGCATCTACCCAGTCATCCATAGTTCTCTCAGCGATTTTGGAATCAATGGCAATATACGCAAAGAGCCCAGTTGCAGCCACCTGGACGTTGTGGTATGTGATGTTGTCGGTTTTTGCTGTTTTCCAGTTAGGGATTAATGGATCTTAATTCATTTCCTGATTCAATGTCCCACCTGTCTTGAAGAACTGTTGCGCAGTTGGCTACAGAATTGCCATAATTAGTATAGGTCCAATATTAAGAGCTTATCTGTTTACCTTCATTTCATCACCAAGTTTATCCTTGGCTACCGTGGTTAGAAGTTTTCCATCGGTTTTCATCTGTACTGAGGAGGCTTTGTATTTGTCCCTGGTCTCCTTTTGACGAGCTCGCCTGGCCTTCCTCTTCTCAGCCCTCCTCTCCTTGCGCTCCAGTATACTTTCCTCAATCCTCTTCTTCTTGCCTTCCAGTTCTCTTTCTTCATCCAGATTCCTCATTTTGACTATTGGGATTCTTGGCTGAGAAGGAGCCTTCTGCTTCTCCTGGTATGTATTAGACTCAAGCCTATGTCCCCATTTGGCCTTCACAGTACCCAGTCCTGATTCCATAATGAAAAGGCAAAGTTCACCCTGGAAAAGGGATAGTAAAAAGAGAACTATTTGTAAAATCTCATAGAAGTAAGAAATGGAGGAAAGGAAGTAAAGTGGGGATGAGAGAGAAATCGAGGAATGTTATGTTTGTAGTTACCAGTTTCTTCTCGAGAAAACTAGCAGGGCCTATTCTTATATACACTTTATGAAACCTAGTCTACGAACCAACCCCACAACAGTCACTTATCCTATATCCTATCTAACCTATGCCCACAACTGCTAAAGTATATAAATATTATTATATATGATATCTGTTCAACTAGTGCTGTCTCGAACTCAACTTTCCTACAGCACCCCTACGCAAATCACGACCCACTTCAACCCTCCGAAAATCTTCCGCTCGTAGCAGCGCCTGCCAACATTATCCCACCATCCAATCCTCATTCCGAACCCCCACCAATCCCGCCGTTCTTTTCAGTCATATATCGACATACGGTATTCTTCCAATACGATATGTCCCCAAAATACCCTACCAGTCATACACGCTTGCAATGCCCCCGGTACCACTTAGACGGTTTGCTCCTCCTCCAACAAAATTCTCACCACCGCAGCGTGTGCATGCCTATCTCCCCAGCACGACACTCAAATTCCCCCTTCCTGGTCAATTACCCTCGCAACCATGCCTGCACATAAATGCCTTTTCATAACCGAGCAGATATCATACATGCAATGGTGTTTCATCCGTGCCACTTCGGAGCTTCAGGTCCGCCCCTCCCGTCGAAGGCAATAACATGTCCAGAATATCCCAAACACCACGGCAGGTACCCCCGTACTTGCCTTGAATACCGATCCTCGCAAAGCGAGACGTCGGGGTTTTTTCTCGGTTCCTTCGATCCCCCGCCGTCAATTTCTCGGTGCAAAGGGTGTCCCTGAGAGTGGTCCTAACAGCCAACACATTATGTTCTCTTTCACTGCGGGGTGAGGTGGAGTGGTGCCGATATCACATTGCATATTGACATCCGCGCCTGGGCTTAAGGCCGTTCTTGCGAGAGTAGTGTTTCCGGATATTGCGACGAGGCGGAGCGCCGTCTAGGCTTGAGTATCTCCTATCTGAAAGGTGTATTTTCAAAACCGACAAACGGCCGTCCTCAACTACTCTCCCCCCAGTGGCAACACCGTGGTACAAGAGTCTCAAATAAGCACCGTAGCCGGTTTTTTACACCCTAATAGTTTCTTCCATCCTGCTCCTGGACGAGGTAGAGTGGTAGTAACACGGAGCGCTGGCGGAATTCTTATTTTCCAATGCAAGGTTCTGCGGCGAGCGAATTGAGCAGCTAGCTGAACCGCCGGTTGGCAATGAGGAGGTGCAGCACGTCTCGTGGCATATCCGATACCCTTGCTATCGTCAAGATAATTTCGTGAGGGAGGTCAACCAAAGTCAACTGTCGTATCGGAGCTTTGCATCCTCCCTCACCATAGCGCCCTCACAATATCGACATACTGTAATACGGTACTGTAGACTCCCAACCAACTGGAAACAGATACCGTACCGGCGTGCAACCACGCTGCACTTCAACACAAACAGGATCCTCTAAGCAAGACATGATTTCTCCCCCCGCCAAGACCCACCGGCTGTCACTCGACGACACGGTCGACACAGTGCAGAGTACCGCACTATGATACCACCGCCAAGACATGGGCTGGGAATTTACTGAACCACTAACGAATCCGCAGGTCATCGGTAGCAGAGGGTACTTCGTACCTGCTTCTGATAACCGCTGCACAGTTTCAATCAATGCACAACGGCCGGCACCTTACCCCTTTGACGGATAGCTTATATACCTACTCGCCGTTCAATACAGTGTTAATTCAATACCCTAAGCGCTTACGATCAAGTCTTTATCGGAAATTCTTGCAGGACCGAGTATCATGTCCCTGCTCAAAAACTCATTTATAACAATGCCATTCATTCAAGTCTTGGGTCGACTAACTAGCTACGATCCTATCGCCAACCAAACCTAGCTAGCCAACTACGAAAAACTAGCGCCTAGAAAAAGGAAAACCGAGACTAAATATACCATACCACGCTGCGCAACCCGACTTGAGATGACCAGACAAAAACCCAGACAATAAATGCCTCAAACGAAAGAAGCAGAATAAAAGAAAAGAAAGTGCATTGGCATTGCCCATGAGCAAGCAAGTAAGCTAACGCAAGACCATAAATCCAGCACTCACTCCAAACCCAGCCATCTAAAAGCTTTACTCCCGCCTTTCGCCCCCCTCCTCCCAGCCATTGCCCTTCTCTCGTCGTCTACTTCGCTTTCCTCCTCCCCCCCTTCCTCCTCTCCCTCTCCCTCTCCCTCTCCTTCTCCTTCTCCCTCATCACTATAATCTTCATCCTCATCATCAACAAAGTAACTACTCCCCCTCCTATAATCCTTCCTACATCTATCCTGACCCCTCCAACCCCTCCCCTCATCCCCCTCGTCTCCAAAGAACCCTGTGAGCCTTTCCCTCTCGACAACACCAGATACTAGCACCCCCACCGCAGCTACAAATCCCGGCCCAGTGGGCACGCTCCCAAGTGGCGGGAGAAGCACGTCCGCGAGAGAAATCAACCGCTGCTTCGGCACCCAATTTCTATCCTTCCTCCGACGCATGGATCTGCGAATGCGGAGTGCGTCGGCGGGTATGTTCGGGCTGGTGGGCGTCCATCCACTGAGGGTGTAACTCGTCGTTGTTTGCCCGTACGAGGTCCTCACCCGGATATGATTTATAGGGGAGGTGGTAGTGGCAGAGATGGTAGTATTATTATTGCCAGCAGGCGGGAGGGATGCGCTCGGGAATTTCCGCACCGGGGGCTTAGCGCTGATCTGGGTTGCTCCGTCGGCGATGCACGCGATTTTAAGTACTGCTGGGGTGGTATCTGGTGCTTCGGGGGCGTACATAGGATAATGGAGGTGTCGGCGGAGTTCCAGGATTGCTGGAGAGCCCACGTGCAGGTCAAAGTCTATTATCAACGCTCTTACATCCGCGTTTTGGCAAATGTACTTTTCGATCATGGGGAGTAGAAAGCCGCCCTTTACAATCGATCTATCAAGGTTTGCGACTTCCGGATGCTGACGGGAAACGAGTGCCTGGGATGTGCTCAGGAGATACTTTAACGACACGCGGGCGACGCGGTTGTTGCTGAAGCCTGATGCGCACTTCCTCTTCGAGACTTCCTTTTCTGTACGGGAGATGAGCTGATGGCGGAGTTCCTCACCTTTTTGCGCAGCCAGGTCGATTTCTGCGCCGGAGAGGGTGGTTTCCGAGCCGATTGCGATGAGGAGGTCTATTGAAGAACAGGGCGTGTCCTCTTCGGAATTGGAGGTAGGTGAGGAGTATGGGCTCAATACCGGCGCCCACAGCGCCGAGATTTCGTCGTCCTCTTGCAGCCAGCGGGTTTCCTCATCGTCATCGTCTACAGCCAAGATCGGGGATGCCGGGATGGGAAAGTGCTGGCGCATTATGCCTCGCAGCTCATTTTGTAAATCTAGCGGGGACTTTTGAGAAGTCAAGCTTATCGTTGGGAAGTTTGTGCCTTGCTGTTCACCCCCATTTATCGTATCCCCTCCAGCACTAGACACTGTGTTCAGTGACCAGCGGGTAGTCTCTGTAGAGGCTATAGACTCGTAGGATTGGTAGGACTCATGCTTTGTCGAAATATGATGAGGCCGGAATCTAGCAGGGAGAAACCGACGCTCCGGTTCTTCCCGTAGGCAGGTTCCCGGAGTACGGATTGTGAAGGATGCTGACAGGTCACCGAGGACTCGCTCCAAAAGCTCGTTAGAGCCCTTTTCTATCTCGTCCGAAAAGTAGATTATCAAGTTGTCGTCGGCGGATGGAAACAACGGGTCCACCAGCTCCCCGGCAAGGCGTCCAAGAGTGCTTGGCGGGGAGCCATTGAAGTTTGCACTGAGACCCACAGGGGAAGGCATGATTGTTGTACCGCTAGCATCTGCCGTGGAGCTAGGCGTTGGTGATGCAGTCCTGGTGGATGGTACCGAATCACGGGCTCCGATATGACCAAATGAATCGCCGATCGAGTAGTGATGCTGATAAAACGAGGGTTGGTTGGGGCTCGGAGTTTCTGGCAACACCCCAGCGCTGGAAGGGGGGGTAATTATGTCCATTGGGGAATAGGCAGCGTCCAGGAGAGGAACACGGTCGTCTGACTTCTTTGTAGAAATCTTTAAAGAACCAGCATCCTTTCTTCTTGATGTTTTCCTTGTAACGGTTTGTCTGTTCCTCCCGCTATACGAGGGAATACTCTGCGATCTCCTCCTCTCTCTCAATCGATCCTCGTTGCTCCCCCGTCTCGACTCAGACCTCATCACAGGCGGCGAAGGCGGAGGGGAATACCTTGGCGGGGCAACAGCGTTGGTAGTATTACTCCGACTCCTAACACGAACAGCGATAGCCTTCCCAATCTCTATCCCAGCCTCAATCTCCTCCGGAGTTGGTGACCGAGGCGCAGTTGTGGAAACCGTAGCAATAGTAGCAAGACTAAGATGCGAGCTCTTGGACATCATGGGATCAATCTTTTCCGCAGCCGACGCCCAAGTCGTGGACTGCGACCCACTCATGGGGGATGCCGGAGGTCTATCTACAGGAGCCACAGGTCTCGGGGTAGCCACTTCCTCCTCTGGAATCCCCCCCTTGGACCTGGCGGCAGCGCTCTCGGAACGCATCCTCCGGTGCATCTTATCAGATATAGACTCCCGACAGGAGCTCTTCTTGAGCCCGTTTGCCCTGCTCTCATCGGAGGGATTGCACTGCAAGGCTTGAACCCCTCCATGCATTATATCCTGAAACACCCATTCTGCTTCCCTCGTCGCATTCTCTCGCATCTCCGTTTCGTCCTCACCCCATGCCAAGGATTGCTTCAACGCTTCCAGACATGCAGCTTGTGCAGCGGCGAAACCCCCGTTCATGAAGACCATCCTCCCGCTGCCCTTACTCCGCTCCGACAGGAACCTCTTTGCTTTTCGCACTCTAGACACGTGCGCATCGTGAAGTGATAGTATATATTTCCGTACTGCAGAGTCGAGAATGGGGAACCGATTTTGCGATGACGGTGACGAGGATGGAGAGGTAGGTCCTCTCTGCGGCGGGAGAGGTGGCAGGTCTAGTGGTGGGAGGCAGAGGACGTTTTGAGAGAAGGGCAATAGCTGCAGTTGCTCGGTGATGGTAGGCTGGTGACCTTCCAAGGTCACAATAAAGCCGTCGTCACGGTCCATGGCCATAGCTCTCGATTGCCGTTTTTTTATCTATAAAAAGGCTCAGCTTGGGGACCACTATCAAGCAAGCAAAGAAGCAGGGAACCAAGGGAGCAAGCGAGAAATTTCTCCCAAAAGAAGGGAGGAAAAAACAGGTGTAGATTGTGGGGCGGTGATGTCGACATTATGTATGTATGCATGTAAGTCAAGGATGGCATTCAGCTGAGGGCAATTTACCATTTTAGCAAATTCCAGATCCACTCCTCGCACCGGCAAAGGAAGCGGGGTGCAAGGTATTACAGTACGCAAGGGTACTTGCAGCAGAAAGGCAATAATAGTAATGTAGCGGCAAGTGGCAATAAAAAAAAAGCACCCCCTCCAAGACAACGCAAGAGCTAGGCACCAAGATGGCTTCGTCCACAAACTCACAAACTGGAGGCCCTAAGTTAGCTGGTTTTCCTTTTTTTTTCCTTTTTTTCCTTTTTTTCCTTTTTTTCCTTTTCACGTTTCCCTTTCCTCTCCTTTCCTCTCGTTAGGAGTAGACACAATCAAAAGCCGATGTGATGGGTGGATAGGTGGCCTCTGATAATGGCGATGATGATGATGGCGATGATGGTGATGATGATGATGATGGCGGTGGTGGTAGTGGTGGTGGTGGTGGTGGTGATGCTCTTGGTATTGATGGATGATGGATGAGGGAGTAGATGGAGAAACCCTCAAGATCGATAGAGTGGATGGGAAAAGCCTCGCAGGGGCTGAGGCACTGTGAAAATGTTTGATATGATAGGAAAAATTGGGGGTAGTGGGTGAGACACTGTGCTGTACTGTATTGTACTCGAGTGGAGTTTTTATGGTAAGGTCCGTTCGGGGGAGAAGGGACTTGTTCTGGGAGTGGGTGGTGTGAATGTGGTTTGTACTGACTGGATCAAGCCCGGGAAGACGGTCACAGAGGGAGAGAGAAAGAAAAATGGATGGATGGAAAGCAGCGTATCAGGAGTGAGAGTGAGAATATAACGAGTCCGTGTGTTTAGACTACCGGTATCTAGACTCCATTGCTGAGAGCAAGACCATCACGGTAGTGTAGTGTATGCTATGCCTACCGTACTCGAGTACTCTTCCTCGCCCCCCCTAGTGGAGGGGCCAGGAGCTACAAGTTGCAAATGGAAGGGAAGCCCGATACGGACAACCTTGCATTAATCAATTTAACGCCTTCAAAGCTAAAGCGCGGGAAATCATAAGATCTCCCCCCCATTAATCACCAAGTTATGTTGTTGATCCCGGCCAAGCTTTCATCTTCACCTTGGGACTCTGTGCCCCTAACGGTACGGTTAGTCCCACTCGAGTGCAGAGGCGAAACATCAGGAAAAACGACGGCGAGCAAGTAATCGTGCCCTACCAGAGTACTCGAGTAGAGTGCTCCACTGTACAGTACTGTACTCGTACTTGAGTGCGAGCAAAGTACAACACCGCACTGTGCAAAACAAAGAAACGTCAAAAATTTCCAACCCCTGCACAGCCAGCCACTGGTAGCACAAGGACTCTCACGAGTCACGAAAGACACGTCCACACGTGGCATTAAGCGAAACTTTCACTCTTCAACCACACAATACGCTCTCCGCAATCTACTCGTAAAAGAAAAAAAGAAAAGAAAGGGGAGGATCCCCTTGCAGGACCGCCGGTTCAACAAATAATGCAGCCGCGATTTGACGGTGATGATGGTGATGATGATGGTGGTGACTATAGCAATAATATCGGTAATAATAACTACCGATATACCCGTGCAGTACCGCTCCCGCGGTACTCGAATGGACCGTGTGAAACATTGTACCCACTACCGTGATAGATGGGACATGTACCGGTAGAAGTCGCCCCCCAATCAGGCAGGAGTCTAGTGCTGTTCCTTAAGCAGCCCATGGTTGATGAATTACAAAGGCTTTGCTTTACTGCCGTTTGGCCAGATGGGGGGGATTGTAGGTGCATGGACCCGTTCTTGCAAAAGCGCGCCCCATGGTAGGTATGATACAGTTGTACCAGTACTTGTGTACCGGTATGATGGACGATCAACAGGGTCCCAATCACACCAGGCTTTTCTAATAATATTATCGTCACTCACCTTGTCCTCGCGTCTCGCCTTCCAATCCATCGTAGGCCAAACCGGGTCGCCCGTTCGTCAGATCCCCATGGTATGATACTATAATGGTACCAATAAATTATCTAGTATCATACTCCATCAGATGAATAAGCCTTCAATCATACCAGTGGTCTAGCTCTGCCTCCCCTGCACACAGGACACTGTGTGGGTAATCCAGAACTCCAATATCCTGCCCAAGCATGGTGCCAGAAACCGTGGAGGAGCGTACGGAGGTACTGTACAGCTCCTAAGTTTTGTATGTTACACCAGTTGCTCACACAATGCCCACTGCGAGTGTAACATGCAAAACTTAGGCGCTGTACTGTACTGTACCTCCGTATAATTGTACTGTACTCCGAAGTTTAGAACCGCGATGTATTCGATATTTGCTACCAAGCAGCTGCGCCCCCAGGGGTGACACACAATACACATTCCTCTATCGCTATTGGCACCACAACTAACTTACGGTACTGTACTTGTACTGGAGTACTTATCAGACATTGGGAGATATCAATGGTATTA